TTCTCTCTCCTATTTGCATATGGTGTAAATTGTATCATTAGGTAATAGAAACACCAACTTGTCTTTTGTAGAAATTATACTCCACCAAGCCTTCCACATGAACAATTTTCTTTTGGCAACTAAAAGAATGATATCATAACACTAACAAATTCACAAAGTTCTTTACATTAGAACCCCTTTAGGGTAGGAAGTGTAAGATAAGAAATATTGATAACTTGTTTAGCAACAATATGAGTTGGAATATTATATTTTCTATATACACAACAAAAAGAAAAGGAGGAGAATTCTCGGAGTCACTCCTTGGTCATATTCAAAAGCCAAAGGCATGACCAAAGGAGAGAAGCCTCCAATTGCAAAGCTTGCACTACCATCACAAAGTCCAAATAGTAAATAAGAATAAAGTCTGGATCTGCTCCTCATAGAGTGTAACTCACATCCACCTCACAGCATGTTTTGGCCGCACATCAGGAACATCTGCCATACTTGGATTTATTATTCATGGGGAGATGTTCCCCAATACAGGGTGTGATGTGACTGTAAGGCCGGTGTGAGGCACATCCTATGAGGAGCATATCCCAATGCATAAGAGCATGCCTTCCACATGAACACCAATATGCATATGTAGGTTGGTCTTTCACTCCTAAATTTAACAAGGTGGCTACTAGTCTAATTCTAAACTATGACAACTCTATTCTTCATGCTACAACTCATGATGTTAGAGACGTACAAAGTGTAGAAGCTAAATGATGGGACATAATCCATGGATTTGCATGTAGGGATGGAAATTTCTACCCTATTCGATGGGTACTCACCCCTACCCTCTCTGACAAGGTAGGTTTTGGAGTGGGGATGGGTTTTTGGATTCTACAATCCATACAATTACGAGTAGGGTACGGTATTAGGCTAAACATGACCCTCCCCGACCCATGTATTGTTGGAAATCATATGAACTTTATGTACTAGGTGTTGAATTTAATAGTATGTTGAATTTTATGTGAATGGTAATTGATGGTTTATGTGTTTTCTACATGTCTTAATCAAATAATTGAAAATTGTGTTGTATATTTGTGTTATTTTTCTTATTTATTGATTATATATGACAAGAAATAATAGGAAATTAGATGTGAGTTCCAAACCTAACCCGCATCTACCCTTGAATGCGGGGAGGGTAGGATTTGGAAGGGTTTTGCATTTTCATGTGCAGGGAGGGTTTAGATTCTCAAAATCCAACCCATTATGGGTTTTGGGGCAGATACAAGTTGGGAGGTTTAGGAAGAAAGATAAGGCTTAGAATTTACAAAACCCTCCCCAAACCCACCCCGTTGCCATTCCAACTTACATGCTCAAAATCTCTCTATCAGCCATGTTGCTTTTGTTTATGACTTAATTGCTATTGTAAAGAGAATATTAGACGCAATCTATGAAGGAGACTAGAAGGAAAAACCATTAAAGGAATAAGTTGTGCTACATTTCTTATCTTTTTTTTTAAGTAGTGCATATATATCATACACCTAGATCCAAGAATGCAATGGCTTATATAATAACCTATAATGCATGTAATATAAATATAGTATATATGGTCAAGGCCACTTATACTAGAGAACATTTGTTGTATTTTCATACCATAGCAGTTTTAGTTGTTGGCTGAAAAAATGTTGATGTTGTTGAAAATAACTTTATTTCTAATTGCCCAAATATTCTAGATTACGTATGCCCATTTTGAAGACAAATCCTTTAAATAATTTAACTTTTTTAGAAAACCATGATGAATGACTTTCTCAAGTTTTGAACTAATATTCAATTGATCAACAAGAATCCAACATTGAAAGATAAAAGGATATGTCATAAAAATATGATCCTCAATTTTGTAGACAGAATTAGGGTTGTACATAGATCGGTTCGATTCGTTTTGGTTGTACACAATTTTGCCAATTGAATCGAACATCTCGGGTTGACTATTACATCAACCAACGCTAACCAAAATAGAACAAGAACCAAAATATTATAGGATGTATCAGTTTGCCGGTTTGATCGGTTTATCCCAAACCGAGTAACTCTTTACCTTGGTCTTGATTTGATTTGGGCCCACAATGCAAGTAAATTGACCTGTTTAGACTTCAAAATATCTTCTTTATAGTAAATAACTAAATATTTTAGGGGTTTTTATTGTTCAGTCCACCCCAATAAATCTTAGCTCTACCATACAATTGGGGTAGGTGTCAACTCGGAATTGATGGCAATACACAAGCGGGTATTGGTGTTAGACATTGTATGCCCTTAGCTCCAATCAGATTGATGTACAAATACATTTATTATAAATCAATAAAAGTATATTATTGTTTCATGTTTTCATTGATATGTTTTTGTAAAATTATACTTTAAATTGGACACTTATGAGACTTGTGTTAGTTTAGAATGTTCTCAACTATTTGATAGACTTGGGGAGTTTATCTTGCCAAAGCTAACACTAATGTGCTGCCAAAGAAGTTGGAGCAACTGTTAGGGTTAGATGCAAAGCACATGTAGTGTGTGTTTGATCGAAGCGCTGAACTTGGACCATTTTTCAATTATGCCCTAACCCCTGGGGACTGATGGGAAAACTGGAAAGTTACACATAACCCCTACACTTGATTATTGTATTGCATTGGGTGTCGGATCGGGCTATATTTGATATGCCAATAAGTGAAATCATTTGGGGATCTAAACGTGGGTATGTTGGGGCAATTTGAGACTTCACTTAAGTGGGTGATCATAGTGATATGATCGATCCCTTTGTCGGACAAAGTGAATGATTGGGACTACACTCTCTAATGGAAACCTAAACTCCCGGCAGTGGATTTCAACTATGTTTGAGATTTGGTTTTGAAAAATATATTTATAATATATGTATATATATTATATTTTAAGACAAGTGTTTGTGGAAAGGTTTTAATTCATAGGACCCATCTGAGCAAAGAGTGTGACATTGTACCTTGTAGTTAAGGAAGAGGTTTTCCCTGTCGGGCAATGTTTGATTGTTGAGGGTTGAGAGGTTAAGTGTAAGAGACCATTGAGGGCTAGTTACCTGATGGACTATATCTTACTTAAGTCCATTATCCTTGGGGCTTCATAGGATGGCTGGATTCAATGATCATTTATCTGTAAATGTTGGGCCCACTTTGAGCCCATAATGATGAGCTCAGGGGTTCACTGCATTTGGTAGTGAATTCGACCAAGCCTTTTCACACAGGTTGGGCTGAACCTATGTGGGTTTATATGAGGTCATTATGGGGTCCCACTTCATACAAATCAAACCTAAATGAGTCAACAACACTCTTGGGTTGTGAGCCACTTAGCTAATGGGCCTAAAGCTCATGATTAATATGATTAATCAAGATGTCACATGACTGCTCAAGTTGTCGTGTGGCGTAGGAGAATATGGGTATGGAGCACCCATTCTCTTAAGAGGATAAGACCTATCTCTTGATAGAGTCCAGATCCAAATAAAGATTTGGATAAACTTTTTAATTCGATTAGGAGTGGTGCTTCATAAAGGATAAAAGAAGAAGAGATTGAACTACTCTAGATAACTTTACATTCTCTCTCTCTCTCTCTCTCTCTCTCTCTCTCTTCTCCTCTTGCCGCCCAAGAAACCCTAGTTCGATCTCCGTATTTGGGATTGATCTTGATAAGTTCTTTCTTTGTATTTTTGCAAGAAAAATACAGAGAAAAATCATACTCACCTCCCCAGTTCGATCCAAGGTGTTGGACTGCAATTTTGCTAAAAACTACGTTGTTGAATCGGCTTCACTTCAAGCTATGTCATCTTTAATGGAAACTGATTTTGGGATTTGATTTGGGCGTGAAATACCGCCTTGGGAGCTACATTTTTGGAATCCGTATCAAGTATACATCTCTCTCTTGTTTGGTTTAAAATCTGGTCTAGTTTCAATGCAAGATCGATCCTAAAAAAATGTAGTTTTTCTAAAACAGTGAATATGATTTCCACAAGGTTAAAGAAAAATTTTTGAAATTTCACCCAACCATCTTGTATGATTCGTCCATCCATATGATGGATTATCATCTTCCCTTAATTAGTGTTATAGGTGGGGATATTTTGAATTTTGAATTGTTATAGGTCTGCAGTGAAATTTATAATTTTGAGGTGGAGTGCAATATAGTTTTTACAATATTTTATTTATTGTTAATAGTTTAGACAATGAGTAGAGAGTACAACATATACACCCATAAAAAAACCTAATTTTATTGCTTTATAATTAAGTATTGTTTAATTATTAATCTCATACACACACTCTCTCAAAACATTATTATTATTATTATTATTATTATTATTATTATTATTATTATTATTATCATCATCATCATTTTTAAAGGTAAATCAAGAATTAATATGAGATATGAGAAAGAACAACTAATAGGTTTGACTGTTGATAGAGAGAATAATTATGCCTATGGACTCGGGGTCAAATCACTTCTCACTTTTAGGCTTATTCGTTTCCTCTTAACTCTTATCTTTTAAAAGTAATCTTTTAACTTTAAGAGAAAATTGGTTGTTCATTTCTTCTTATATTTTATCTCTTAAAGTGCAATCATACAACTTTTTGCTTTCCAATGGTACTCCCAAAAAGACAAACAAAAACTATCATATATGGGTCAAAATTGATATTTGATAGTTTTCAGAATTTAGAACAACATTTTCTGCATTCAGAATTCAAAAGAAAGAAAAGTTCACTAATACCAATATATTGAAAAATGAGAATTGAGACATGAGAATGATTTAGCTAAGGTCACATGCATTATTAACCTATACTAGATTTGGTTCGATTTTATTTTAATTTGCAAATTTATAAACTACAATTGAACTGTTCAGTCAGATAATGCTTATTTCTAAACCAGGTTATTTGAAAACTGTTCAGTTAGTTCGAATTGAATCAATTTGGTCGGTTCTTTTTTTGACAAGTGAACAGCCCTAGTCAGAATTAGATATAATCCACAAGAAAGGTCAATGTTCATACCTCTTTTAGTAGAAACTTTTCTCTAAAAGAAACAAAGTGGGATATGGCTGTGAGGAGCAGATTCCAATTCGTCATTCAGCCGATTGCAAGTACCAATTCAGCATAAATGTTACTAGACTCGAAGAGAAAATCCCTTCGAGTCCAACGCTACTTGCAATTTTCTGAGAAACGAAGGGCATTATGGAAGGTATGATGGTGAGTAGTTCATAGAAAAAGATTCTCTCTGCGTTCTTTGCCTACAGCCTACCAGAGTTTCGGATAGAACAAATGGAGTTAGCCGTTAAGATTTTCTCCATGGGTTTAAATCCTAAGGTAAGTCATGCTCTGAACTCAAAAACCAAGTATCCTGATTATATGGTGATTACTCAGATAAGGATTCTAACGGCAACCTCTATGGGCACTCTTGTGGTTCTGAATTTGTTGCTTGAAGTTTTTCTTCTTTCTTCTATTTTACGGAGAAGTACGGATTTGCCCAATGCGTATTTTTTATTTCCACTGCAGAGCTATAAACATTCTCCCTCTATTTTATTGTCTGACAAGAACTTACTTCCTTTCTCTTGGTTGTGTTCGTCTCGTCTGACTGGTTACTACCTGAAGTATTAATTTGTTTGTGTGATTTGTGGATTTCGTTACTTCATTTGGAGTGTAATTCTTTTCTTCTTTTAGGGGTGAATTCGAGCCGAGTCGAACCGAATAGGTAGCTATTCCAGTTCGGCTCGCTGAAACTGTGTTTAGGCTCGGGCTCGAGCTCGAGCTCTCGATTCGAACTACAAACTTGAACTCGAGTTCGACTGCAAGCCAATTTTTTTTCTAAAAAATAAAAAGTATACATATATTTTTTTTATTTTACATACAAAAAATTAAAAATTATTTACTATTATACATAAAAAATAAAAATATTATTATTTATATAAAAAATTACTTATTATATATATTTATATTTATGTGTATGTATTTTTTATTTATTATTACTAGGCTCCCGAACTGAGCTTCATTGGGCTCGAGCTCGGCTTGATTAGCAAAAAAGCCTATATATCAAGCTCGAGCTAAACCGAGCTTCGAGCCGAGCTTGAATAATAGCTCATGAAAATCTCGGCTCGTGGCCACCCCTAACCGAGGCCGTGGAATTTAGTTTATTTTTGACAATGCATTAAGAGTTAAGACTAGAAACAAAGAAAAAAGTTGACATCCTTTTGTTTAATTGTTTCCCTAGCATGAACTTATATTGGATTTACAAACCTAGAGGGAACTCTTGAGAAGGAAAAGTGATAATTCGAAATTGATAAGAATTTGATGAACTTCATTGCATTCTCAGAAAATTTTTCTATCAAGTTGAGGGCCTTGCAAGATGCATAACTCCATAATACTAGTGGGTTACTTGCATATGGAGAAGTTTTGAAAAATTATGTTCTTGGCTTTTAAAACTGCTCTAAACCACCCCATCAATTCATCCATTTAATTGAGAGGTTTTAATACGTTTTTGCAAAGGCTACAACATATCTTTGAGGACTCTTCCATGGCCTCCCACCTTATTTGGACATAATGACATATATGTTGGTTATAAGAGCTAAACCAAGATGGTACAAGGATTTCAATTACACTATCTAGGGCTTACATGGATGATAGTCACATCCCATTAGTCAGGTGTGCTCCCATGAATTTGTCTTCCTTCACGTAGGTCTTACCTGAGAATCTCTTTTGTGAAATATCTGATAGTTCCATCTGAAGAGAGTTTCATAAAGCTAACTTTGATGGTAACAGTTTTGCCAAATCAGGCCCCTTGTGGGTTGGGGGAGTTTTTAGGGACAAAGATGGGAATATAGTAGCTTTGTTTTCAGGTCATGTTGGACCTGGAGATTCAACTAGAGCTGAACTGTTTGCTGTCCTACAAGGGGTTCAAAAGCGAAAGAGATGATCATAGAATGGCTGGTTATTGAAGGGGACTCTCAAGTGGTGGCTGGTTGGCTGAAGGATGAAATGGAAGCAGTATGGACTCATAGAGATGTTATAAAGAAGATCAAATGGTTAACAAGGGATATGCCTGTAAGACTACATTGGGTTCCAAGGGGTGCAAATAATTTGGCTGATTCGTTAGCCAACAAGGGATCAAAAGGGGACAGTTGTACTAGGCTGCTTTGTAATTAGTTGTTTAGTTGAGAGGCAAATCAAAAGGGGACAGTTGTACTAGGCTGCTTTGTAATTAGTTGTTTTGTTGAGAGGCAAATACTTTTATGTCTCCTTGGGATCCTAATGTGTACACATTCTGTTTATGTTAATGAGATTGTTACTTGTTACTTATCAAAAAATGATGTGACATTGTTACATTCAAGATTATCAATGGTCCACTTAATTTCATCAAGCTAAGAAATAAAATTTATGGCACCAAAACAAAGCAGAACAGAACTCAGAAAATAAATTATTTTTCTTAAAGTAACCATATCATCATCATCATCATCCCCATCATCACTAAAGTGTAGCATGAACCAGTGGATTGTCAAATTTGTGGAGAACTAGAGGCAGATGTACCAAATTCATTGTTTCATGTACATCTTTGTCTTCTTGCTTCCAGAGTGATGCAGGAAAAAAAAAGAAAAAAAAAACTAGTATCTAAGAATAACCTGCTTCCATATATTTCAAAATCTTCTCTTTTTACTTTTTTTTTATCAGCAAAAAGATTTTATTAATAACAGAGAAATATTGAAATACAATAGATATAGGTTGCAGAAAGCATTAACCCAATCTGCAAACACTACAAAGCATTTACAGTTCTGCCCAGTACAAGGTAGATCTATTTGCCCCCTGTTTTGCTAAAGTGTCCGCCAACCCATTTGCAGTCCTTTTGATCCAGTCAAACTGAGTGTTGAACTTCCTTGCAATTATGTCAATTTCTCTGTATTTAAATTTGAGCTTCTAAGGTGCTGATGTAATGTTTTTAGCCCAAGAAATGACCAGCAGTGAGTCTCCTATTTCTAAGTTTGTTGTACCAATCTGCTCAGCCATCTTTAAGCCTTGAAGTAGAGCCAATGATTCAGCCTGTATTGAGTCACCAAAACCTATTGGTCCTGAGAAGAGTGCCACAACTTCACCTAGATGATTTCTAATAACACCTCCTATACCTGCCCTTCCCGGGTGGCCAAAGGAGCTCCCATCAAAGTTTAGTTTTAATTTGTTCAGTGCAGGTGGCTTCCACTCCACTCTCACAACTTCTTTAGGAGCATCTGTCTGTGCTATTTCAGTCCCGCTTCTGAGAATCTCATTCGTGGAGAAGTTTTTGAATAGATCCATGGTCATCACCCAATGTGCAGTTCTGATTTTTAGGGTTTCAATGACTTCCTCCTTTGATTTACTTTTTCCAGAGAATATTCTTTGGTTTCTTTCCTCCCATATAGTCCAAACCACAGAAGCTCTTGCTGCCTTCTATAAGCACTTTCCTCTTTTCTTCTATTGCCTCAGGAAGGAGGGGCTGAATAGACTTACCACATCCTGTGGGGGAGCCCATCTTTTTACTTTCTACTCAAAGAACACCAGAAACAATCGTAATTAAACTCAATACCTTTTGCATATCCTCAGTAAAGCCAAAGTCAAATATAAAATCTTTACTCTCCTTTATGTGGAAACCAGCAAGGTTCCATGTGTATCCTTTCAATCATTTTATAGCATCCATTGTAGGTTTTGGAACCTGGAAGTAATGCACCAAGGCATTATTTTTACCTCCAGATATCTTTCTTGACATTCTCATCTGCTGGGCAGAGAGCTTCATTATTCCTTTCTACATATTAGTCCTAGGAAAGACAGTTTCCTCCTGTTACTGTCAGGCCCATTAGCAAGAAAAAAGAAGAGCTCCAAGATGGTCCCAAGGCTTGGCAAGAAATGCCTCCTTGAGCACTGATTACCAAAGAGTTCCTTTAGAGGTCCTGCAAAAGGAGGGGAAGCATCTATTCTAGAAGCTTTCTTGTCTTCCCCAAGAAAAGATTCTGAAGGAGGCCATGGCCACAAGAGTGAATCTTGCTAAGGTTGACCACCTGGGATTGACAAAAGGCAAAAAAAAAAAAGGCTCAACCAGGATAACTGAGGTTGTACCTCTGAATCATTTGATTCCATTCTGTTTAAAGATCAGTTTATATATTCCTTCCCTTATATGTCCATTATTTATTTGCTTTTTGCTGTTTGCTTGGGGGTGGGGGGTGGAGGGTTATGTGTTTTCAACCTTGTTCCCATTCTACTGTTACTTTTATAGTTCTTTGGAGGTCAATTTGATTTATGATATATTCTAGCACAGGTTCAACCTTTTTTTTTTGTTTCTTTCCAGTACCTACTATTTGATCTTTTTGTCCTTTTGCCCATTCCTAGGTTTACAACCTCTTCTTGTGTTGTCTCTTTTTATGTGTATTGCTATTTTTCTTTACTGTGCATCACTTATTGGTATATCCTTTTAACCATCTATAGTTTTTGTTTGACTAAGTTGATCTGTTATCCTTTTTTTTTATAAGTAACTACAATTTTATTAGAGAGCCAATATATACATCATTACGTTGCACCCCAAGAAGAGGTGCGAGATTCACCTCTTTAGGAAAACATTAAAAAAAAACTAACTAGAACTTAGCCCAATATAACTGATCCCTATTGTGAGCATCCAAATTATTGGGGCTCACTTCATGGCTGAAAATGAAAAGAGCTGCCACCCTTCAAAGTGATAAACATGGGAGTGATGGGCTTCCCATGTTCAAGAAGACAAAAAATAACTCTAATGTCAATGTAGGCCAACCTAGATACACTTCAAGGGGGAGAGAGGGAAGGTGTGAGGCACCCCTATCCCGTATTTGATGTAGTACCGTTCCCAAACGCAAAATTAAATGTCTAATCTCGAGATTTGCCACATTTCAGCATCCAATTGTTGAAACCCTCTACATTGTGAAGGTGTAAATCCATTGGGACCTCACTCCATAATTCCTTTCAGAAATCCTCCTTGAAGCAAAGAGAAATCGAGATATCCTCTTATTCTCTTTTTTATTCAAAGAGGGCCTCCTACCAGCTATGCTTCTTTTGAAATTCCTAGGGAGAAGCAAAGTGGTTGAGAGATCTCCTCTCAATCCTTTTTTTTATTCCCCACCTAGGCCTTCTATTAGTGAGCACATTGAAGTGTGCAGTCCCCAAATTGGACCTCACAAGAAGGTTCAAAGCAATGGGAGACTTCACGAAAAAGAAACAAGCAAAGTGGAAGGGACTAACACAAGCAAAGTGATTGAGAGATCTCCTTTTTTTTTTTTTGTCTGTGTAGGGGGGGGGGGGATGGGATACAGCAGAATGATGACTGAAAGAGGGGAAGAACGAACTCTAAAATGAAGCCAAACTCCTTTGTTCTTCCTAAACTAAACCCTCTTTCTCTTCTAGCTTTCTCCCTACATCTCCTTTTGTTCTCCTTTCTCTTTATCAGTTCTCTCAACCTACTCTCTTATCTTTCTTTCTTTCTCCCTCCTTTCTCTCTATTTGAACCACTCCTCTTCTCTTCTCTTTGAAAACCCAAAGCCTTCCGTCTTGAATTTGGTCCTTGGAGAGGGAGGCTAAGGCTGGAAATTGCCCAAAGAGGTAAGGGCGAACTAGGGCTTTCAAGAGGGAGCTCTTAATCCAAGGGTGGAGGTTTTAGGGGTGCCCATCTAAGGGCTAGGGTTTTCTAGGTGTTTTAGGGGTATTTTGCAATATTAAAAGATTAGGAGGGCTTGCAAACAAGGGGCTTTAGGGTATTTTGAGAGAAAAGGAAAAAGGCAATGGGTAAGGGATGTCTAGGATTTAAGGAGGGCTTCAAGAGTGTGATCCAACGGCCCAAGTTTAAACCTATAAGAGTTAGGGTGTAATCTTGATGTTAGGATGGACCAATAGGATTCCTTGAAAGGGAATCCATGGCCCTTTGGGGGGGGAGGAAGGGTATTTTTATTTGAAAATTTCTAGGATGAAGGTCTAAGTGGGGCCATGTTGTTTGTAGTTGTTAGTTGTGCTAGAGGCATTGTGTTAGGAAAAATGAGCGTCTAGCATCTGGGGGTACGAGATCAAGTCAATTGGAATCCTTCTTGATGGAAGGGTAAGATGGGGATTTGGGGGATAAAATTTGAAAAGCGAATTCCAGATGGTTTCAGAAAGGTGATGGGGTTTGGTTGGCCTAGATGCCAGACTAAAAGGGAGGTTTTGAGTTTGAAGGGCTATAGCCAATGAGGAGAGGTAAATTGAAAATTTTCTTCTTGTTGGAGGGGTGAAACGGGAAATTAGGAGTTGAAAACTGGTGACTGGGTGGTTAATGCTCTCTGGAAATAATGGAAGGAGTAAAATGGGAGGTCTCAGGAGTCAGGCCCTGGGGAGGTTTCTGGTTTTCAAGGGTAGCAACCAATGAAAATGGCTGAAATAAAATCTTCTTTAACAAAGGAGTAAAATGGGGTGTTTTAAGTTGACATTTGGTAGCAGGTAGTTAATAGTCTTAGGAAGGTGATGATAGGGTTGGTGACCTTGAAAATCAGACCATAGGAGAGGTTTCTGATTTGAAGGGTTGTGGGCAGTGAGAATGGCTGAATTGGAATCTTTTTTGTTTGAGGGATAAAATGGGAAATCTTGGCTTAAAACTTGGTGGGTGAGTAGTTGAGGGTAATGATAAAGTCATAGTCAGGTTTAGAGTCGGAGATCTTGGTTTCGAAGATTTCCACTAATAAGGAGAGTTAAAACAGATTCTAGGCTTGATAGTGGATGAAACAGTGGAAGGGGAGAGATTCCAGGGGGAATCTGATGCTTATTTTTTTTTCGATCAGTGAATCTGATGCTTATTGTAATATTGACAGCAATTGCTGTCCCTCTTTTCCTATTTTTCTTTGTATATTTGTTCAAATAATCAATAAATTTGATCTTTGTTACTGGTCAAAAAAAAAGAAAAAGAAAAAAGGATATTTTTTTTCTTCCAAAATCTACAAGAGATGGCCTTTCCCAGAATCCATGTGTTCATTTCATCTTTTCCACCATGGAAACATGATTTTAATCAATCATATTATCTCTTGTTATTTCATTTATTTCCTGGTTCTTTAGTGATGCTTTTTGAGTTTTGTTTTGTTTTTGTTTTTTTGTTTTTGTGTGTGTGTGTCTTTTTGATCAGTAAACATGTACTTTATTTAAGGTTATTGTTGAAGCAGTTTACAATTTGTTGTTGGGAATGTTATTCCCATTTAAGTACACTTACCTGTCCCAGATTACAATGTAGCCCAAAATAATTGCTGCCTCAGTGCCCCTTGTTTGGCAAGAGAATCAGCTAGCCCGTTTGCACTCCTTCTGACCCATTTTAATTCAGCCTCAACCACTTTTGAGTCCCCTTCTACCTCAATGTGCCTAAATCCCACCTCAATGACCACTTTTGTTTTGTGTGTGTATTTACATTCTTTCTTTCTTGTTTCTTTTTTTCTTTTACATTAAATGGTTCTTTGAGGTGTATAGTAATAGTTAGTTTGGTTTATGAAATGATGCTTCTAGAATTTCTTAGAATTTAGGCCATGTCCTTGAACCTTCTTTTTTTGGTAATTGTCCTTGAACCTATTTATGGTCCTTCTATCTTTACCAACAAGAGATATTATTGTATCATTCATATATTTCTATCAAGACTATAAAAATGTATTTTTTTTTATGCATCCTTTAAAATCACCAATAATAGAATCTTCAAGTGAATTGCTTCTATAAGATGAGTAATAAAGCTATCATGATTTTGGTGCAGACAATAGGTTACAAGAAAACAGTTGATATCTACATTCCAGAAATTTCCCCCCAAAGAACATATTGCTCCCTTTGGATGAGAACTAGTAAACGAGAATCTTTTGCAAGGTGAAAGTCACTAAGCTTTGTTGGGCATATTAACAGATGAAAACAAAATGTAGTTCTGATCAATCCAGAAGTTCAAATTTGACTTGGTTTTGCTTAGCACTAAGTTGAAGTCCTAAAAGCTCTGAGGGGATTGTTCATTGATTCTTCTGTTTTATATCAAATGCATCAATTGTCACCAAGTAGAGTAGAGTGAAATCCTAGTACCAAATTAAAGGTAGTCTGGGAAGGACCTTGCTTTTGAGTTCACTCATTTACTTGAAAGAGGGTTATCTAGATTTTCATATTGGTAACAAAGCTTTAGTTCTTTTTCCTTTTTTTTCTAGTTACTAAATACTGATTGCATTTACCCTTTTGATGTTTATTTTTCCAATCAATATGATGGTACTAGATGTCTTCTAGCAAGGTTGCCCTCCATGAACATGACTATAAGCTTTTATGAATGATTTTGTAAATCAAGCTTTTAGTACTCAAAAGTAATTCAATTTATGAGACTTTTGTGTTGAATCTTAGTTGATCATTCAATTTAGGCATCTAGTGTTATCACACTAGAATTGTTTATTAGGTATATTATGAACCCTCTGATAAATTGAAGTTAACTAGTAAATAGTAATAGACTAATTATCTTATGTAAACTCAAGTATCTGGTTACATACTTGTACTTTTGCAAGTGTAAAGTTACTTTCTTACTTTCAGTTGACTTGGTTCTTAATTGAGTATGATGAACTTCTTATGTTTCCTAGTATTGATTTGGATTTTATTATATGCGTTTTGAAATTCATGATATGCCTGATGTGGTATCAGATATTTACTTCCATTTTACAGGACAAGTCACAGATCTTTTCCCACTGCTTGTGTTGTATCTCCAGGTATAACCACTTGAATTTTCACTCCTCCAATCAGCTTTAGAATAATTAAAGAGGTGCTACTACTGTCTTCTTATCTTTCTCTTTCCTTCTTAATTTAGATTTAGAAGATGCTGGCATTTCTACTTCTCTGTTTGATGATTTTTCAATCTCTGCTACTAATACCAATGCTAGAGAGATTAAGGTAAGAAGGGATTTCCATTTCTTGGTCCTTATTTCAAATTAAATACTTGTAGTTTATTGAATGCAAAAGATATTAGGATAAGATTGAATTCCAATCTAGAAAGAACAAGAAAGATGTAATAAATTCTAAACCTAAAGTGACATGTCAACCAGATGAGAATAGATGTATCTGGAGCCAAAACACAAGCTATTTTTGATGATGTTTTCTCCAAGATGGTTGCTGCTGCACAGCCTATTCCAGGATTCCGGAGAGTCAAAGGAGGTAGAATTTTCAAACCTAATAGATAATTTCTAATATAATTTCTTGTTTCCCACAAAATGACGGACTATCAGTTATGATCTTGGGGTAGCTAAAAGTTTTGTGGGTTGGGGAAGGTAGATTGGAGAACTTGCCCTGCCCTGCCCCCATTGGGACTGTTCAGTGTATCCTTTACTGGGTTAGGGGTGGTCTTGGGTTATGGAGTTTCAACCAAGAGTGGGTTCATGACATATTCCATTCCTAGATTGCCATGCCATATATTTCATGTGTTACTGTCTTTTTTCCCTATTTTATTTATTCTCTCTAAGAATACTTCCCTCTCTCTTATATTGCCCTACTCTATGCTCTGACCTGGCCCACCTATTCATGGGTTGGGCGAGTTTGGATAAGATTCAGGTTAAGCTCAATGTGTACCAAATTCATGCTGTAGGCATCCTTGCTTACTGGTTTCTTCTAGGGCTATCAATGTTCTGATAGAGTGGGCTTCACTGCCTAAGCAGATAACCTGGGCTGCATTCATCATTTATCTAGACTCTCTCCTTATCTTTTCTGTTTCTAGAATTTGTTTCTTTGCTGTTGGTAGTTTAACTCCTTTGTTTTTGATAATGATCAATTTTCCATCTATGGAGGCTTCTTAAAATTGTTCACTTAATTCCTTGTATTTGAATACAATGGTTCAACATGAATGAAGGCCATTTCCCAGTGATGCAACATGAATACTAATATATTTTTTTTTCTACTTGATTACTTCTAATTTTGTTATGGCGAACAACTTGTGCTCTATCAGGAAAAACTCCCGATGTAAGTTTTCCCTTCCATATCATTTATTTCTATCATGTTATGCATGTTGACTGGATCTTTTTTTATTCTTTTCCTTTTTTTTTTCTAGTGAAAATGTTGGTTGGATGTGAACCATTGCTTGAGATAAAGTTGTATGAGCCAATTTTATACATCAAACATGTTATATTCATTTTTTTCTGGCTGAAAAGCATGTACATATGAAATACATGATCTTTGCTTTAGACATGCTCTCTTTACCAACTCTAAGATACCTGAAAAGCAGATTTTTATGTTGTGTTTATTGTTGATCTCAAACATCTGATTTGATTGCAAATTCCCTAGGTAGTAGAGAGTATTCTTTCTAGAAGTCAATATTTAGTTAAGTCAAGCTTGTTTTAGCTATAAAATTAGAAGGTTGCTCCTTTTTATTCTTTAAATATTTGACACCATTTCATATTAGAATTCAGAAACAGGCAGACATTTCAGACAAAAACTTGACTTAGCATGTATGTTGCTTTCACTGTGATCTATATGACATTGATATAATTCGATGTAATTATCTTTTTTTATTAATATATGTAATTAGCTCATTGTAAACATATTCTTTTCATATTGCTCATTTACATGAATAAGACGTGTTTCATTTATATCTCACAGATGTATGAAATAAACTTTACAGATGTTTGTAATTTAGACTTCCCAAGGTTGCAGACAACCTCTTGTTGCTGGAAGTGTTCTCGTTACATGTATGAAATAATGTGGACAAGCACATGTATCACTAATGTTGCCACAGAGCAAAGCTGTCCATATGATAGGAAGAAATATAAATATTTGATTAGCATCTTACTCAGCTTTATAGAGTATCTCTATAGAAATATGTCCATTCCTAGTATCTTCTGACCAAAGCATTTCCAGCAGTATCAAAAGTGTGGATGTGGAATATGAAAATTTTAATGGAGTTCTTGATTACATCCATTCTGTAATGTTTGCTAATTATGTTCTCTTCATCATGTTCCGCAGATTCCTAAAGACATACTCTTGCATGTCCTTGGACCATCAAAAGTTTACATGCAAGTAATTAAAAAGATAATCAACTCTGCTATTTCTGATTATGTAGAAAAGGTTAGTGGCATTGGAGTTCATACTGATTTTATAGTTTTCAGTCCATTTAGCATAGAATGCTTCTGAATTCTGATTAACAAATTGCAATTTTATTGACCACTAAAAGCATATGCACGTTTTTACATTCACTAGGTTGTATAGTATCGGAATTTGTTTTCCCCCTCATTATAAAATGTATGGTTACCTCCAAGAAAAAACTAAATTTTGTTCAAATGTATACAGGAAGGCTTGAAAGTCGGTAAGGATCTAAGAGTTGATCAGAGTTTTGAAGAGCTTGAAGCATCATTTGAACCTGGCGAAGAATTTGGCTTTGATGCAACAATTCAGCTTCAGAAGCAAAATTAGCAGTGTTAACTTTTTACGGTTTGTTACATACGTAGAATACATGACACTATTTAATAATCATTAGTTAACGGAAAATTGATTTTTTGAGGTAAATTTACAGGTGCAAATTTTGGTTTTTTTTATTTTTTTGAATTTACAAGAACTGACGAGCCCAGATCTCCTACTAGCAAACATTCTGCGCACATGGCGTACAGCCGCACATTGGGAATATCTCCATACATGTATGTTAAATTCATGGGTATACCTCCCGTACATGTATGCTTGCAGAGTGTGAAATGTTTTTGCTTGCAAAGAACCAGGTTGGAAACACTGGTTCACGCTGGACTTGGGCTGGAACTCTGCACTTTTCCGCCCACGTAATTTTTTCTGAGCACTATGGTCATGACCCATAAAGTCCATATCGAAATGCATGCGTATTTAAAAGTATTTGTGATCATATCTATAATACTCGGGGGTAAGAACTTTATTTGTTTTACATACAAAAATGACAAGGAATAATAACTAAAGATTTCAATTTGTTGCCATTGGTTTCACCATAATCTTTCCACACTGTCTTGTAGGGCTAGAATAGAAGATTTTGAGTTGCAGAAAATGAATGTTGAATCCGAGTGATAACTATTCTCAGTCTCTCACTATGGTTTAATCAAATAAAGTAATGGAGAAATGGGCCTTTCCATATTGTCTTTTCCCAACATTCAACAGTTACATGGGATCCATGGATGTGTATGTAAGAGCCACCTCCAACCCACCAAAAGAAGGAGACAAAATATTCATTTTCATACCTTTGATGTAGTTTTTAAGTACCCTCAACCATAATAAAGATGTTCCTTTTTGGTTGATTAATACAAATTGGTGAGAAGTATGCATTGTCACATGAGATACAAGAGTCACTTCAACTAGAATGATTAGACTTCACCCCCCCCCCCCTTCAAACTATAGGTGTAATGTGGTTAGGGGTGATCATGGGCTGGGATTTGCATTTATGATAAGGTCTATAGTTTAAGCCTGGGCTGGGCCGGGCCGGGCCTGATTCCGGGCCAATGTCACTCATATATAAAGCATTATATATCTATATATTAAATGACATAACATGCATATAAACTTATTTTATACATTATATAATATAAAATATTACATATAATATAAATTATACATGTCATTATATAATATTTATATATAATATATATAATATAATGTAAATTAACATGTATACATATGTATACATTATACACAAAATGTGTAAATTTAAATATATGCGGGCTCGGATGGGCCTGGGACAGGCTTGAAGTATTAAGCCCAAACCCGGCCCTAAAATTTGTAGGCCTGATGTGGGCCCGGGCCCAGGCTGAAATGATCACCCCCAAATGTTGTCCATGATGGGCCTGCATGGCATATTTTTGTCATGATGTTTGCTTCTATCATACCATGCCAATATGATACAACAAAGCGGGGAGGGTAACCCGACATGATTTTTTTTATGAAGGAAAAATTAAAAAAAAAAGAATAAAATTTTGAAGAAAAAACTTAACAAAATGGACAACAAATTTGAAAAAAAAACTTACAATTTATTCCATATGAATTTTTATGTATACAATTGTTCATATATGAAATAATAAAACAAAATTAAAAAAATACAATGAAATTGGAATGAAAAAAAGTAATAAAATAAAAAAAATAAAAATTTACAATAAAATTCAAACAAAATCATTGTAATTTGAGAATAAAATTAAAATTCAAAGTTTATAATAATACTAAAAATTTTGTACAATTATTGGCTCTTTAAGTCTCATCTCATTCACTTGAATTTTCTATGTTCCGTTGGATGAAGTGTCATGCCGTCATCGATCTTGTAGTCTATCATTTGCATTTAGTGAATCTTTGAGAGGTATGCATATTTCAAAATTCCATTTGTCATATGACTTCTCTTGTCATCAGATACCCTATTATCAACATTAAAGCAACACTTTAATGTGACCATGGACATTGGAGGGATTAATAGATCATGTGTCATGGTAGTAACACAAGATGAGAGGAAGTTTGTAAAATAACTTTGTAAATAAAATTGAAATTAATTAAATGAACTTGAAAAAGAAGAGCAAGCAACTTGTCATTTAGATAGTAACACAACTTGTTGTTGCTTGCTTCTATCTATTCACAACTACCACTGCTACCAAATGGTGGCATGCCATGTCATTTAGATAATGAGTTGTTGCATACGTTTGTGACTATATGTTGTGTTGTTGTGCTCCATTGCCTTGTCAACATGTCATTGCAGGCAGGGACTACTTCAATGATGCACTAAATCGCCTGGACACTAGTGCCTAAGGCTCAGTTTGGAAGGAGTACAAATATAAATTTGTAGAGTACAAAGCATTACATTTTATATTTGTACTGTACACATTTAGTTTGTATGTATTTGTACTGTACACATTTGTATTTGTACTCCTTCCAAACTGAGCCTAAGGTAAGCTCGATATTTGCAACGTGACAATGATTCAGTGTGTCATGTTGCAAGTGTAATTGTGCATTGTGGTTTGGGTGCTAAGTGAGATCTTTAGGCTGTTAACTGTCTAGATGTTGGTGCGTTGTGGGCACTTATTTGAGTATCTACAACATAGTGTCCGTGGGACTTGAATCCATGGATATACACCTTGCATTTATTAAAATGAAGATTGAGAGAGTTTTTTCATGGGTTCAAAATAAGTACTTGGGAGCTTCTTGATCTTCAAAGAAAGCAATGTAAATGATACGAAAGCGATGCATGGGAATTAATAACTTAGGATTGGCCAAAACAACCTTCTTGGAAATAGGGGAGACTGATACAAACTTATGAGAGACTGTAGGAAAACTTCTCAATTTTGAAAAGCAGGGGAGAGTATACATACTATACGAACTCAGGGGAGACTATAGGGGATAGTATACACACTCTTCTCAATCTTTCTTTGGCCATAGATGGAATGGGAATGGGAAGGAATATGAAGGATGGGAGTTTTGGATAGTTTCCTACTACATCATGACTTAGAATTGTGATTGATCATGAATGTTCTTGAGTGATTGAGGTGGGGTTGGGAAAGGGAGAGAGGCTTGCTAAGGTGGCAATTGGAAAAGGGAAAAGGGTCTGCTGAAGTGGCAAATTGGGAAACTTATGAAAGAAATAAGGGAGAGATGCTAGATACATAGGGTTTGAGGAAGGGAATAAAAGAGAGACCATATGAAGTGGTTAGTTTTGTTATGTATATATATGGGATGTTTGATATGGCTTCTATTTATTAAATAAATGTCTGCTTGAATTGTCTTCAAAACTGAGAAAAAGTGGTTGATAAACATTTGACAGTTAGGCGCCATTATGTGACGGTTCAGCCACCATCAGCGCCATCAGCACGCCATCTAAGTGTCTTGGGTTGGGTCATTGTACTCTTTTTGTAAGGGGGGTATGCCAATGGCAATTATGTAAATAGTAGTATGAATGTACAGTATTTTGATGTATCCTTTTGTCACTCCCCCAAAAGCTTAACGTACTCTTTGAGGGGAGGTAGGTAGTCGAGTGAGCTCATAAGCGTGTAAAGGTTAAGCACGAGATCCCCTCGACA